TATGAATAGTGTATGCAATTTATTTTAATACTTCACAATCAATTTTTAATTTTAAAAACTGTTCCACGTGAACTTTTAATTTTGCGCATACTATTACAAGCATCTGTTTCGTGTATGTGACTGAATACATGTAGGCAGACTCCTTCACACATCATTTACACGTACATTGTTTTCTCTGTTACAATTGTAATTTTTTACCTGTATTGACGTTATGCAAATCTCACCATTGTGCTAATACATATAACTGCACGAACTCACCAAACTGCACCAATACTCTTACTACTCCATTACATCTACTACTCCACTGCAATAACTCCATCATACTCCTCCATACATAGTTGTCTTTTACGTAACTGAGTTTTGCACGTGATAGGATGGAACCCATCACCTCTAATCCCAGCAACAGCAACAACATGGATCTTAGTCTGGAGGAAGAGGAAGTTAATTTAAATGAAAACGTGGATGCACTGCCCCTATCCATCGTCAGCTCTGCTAGTTCCTTCGAAAAAAGTGTCACTACATCACCTAGGCTCTCCTGGTTCTCCTCAGGCTCAGACCCGGCTCCAAGTGACTGCACAGCCATCAATAAACCTACCTCTATGAATCAGGAAAGTGTCACTGCGATGGAGACTTCAGACGTTGTCCACATGGAATGTAGCACTGACCCGTTATCCACCTCGACTCCGAAAATTTCTCGTGAGCTTTCTTTGCTCATTGGAAAACCAGGACCAATGTGTAGTAAGAGGAAGAAACCATTCCCTCTATCCTTATCTCTACGCAAGCGCTCCAAGCGCGGCTCTGCTAGCCATAACATCAGTTCCTCTAAGAGTGCATCCAAAGTCCAGATCCTCAATGATATTCTTTTACCGCAAGTTAATCCAGATGTTGTTAACATTCCCTCCTTGAATAAAAACTCAACTAAGGAACCCAATCTTCCCATCAATCATAAATCTGAGCATGAAGTTCCGGATAATTTTCTTCAAGATGGTCCCTCCACCAGCAAGGATGCTGCGATTCTACTCAGACTGGCTTCTCTCCGTGATGCAGAGGATAAAATCCCGGCTATTTTCCTTCATGATGTGACTATTATTCAACCCCTTCTTGACTCTCTTAACTCCATTCCAGGAGTTTTGGAGAAAAATTTTACTACCACAACTCTAAATGGAAATTGTATCAAAATAACCTGCAGCAACTCCACCACCTACCAATTAATCATGAACAAATTAGAGACTGATAATAAGCAAACTCATACTCACCAACCTCGTTCTGATCGAGGGTATAGGTTAATTATTCGACGACTCCACCATTCTACACCCTATGACCAGATCCGCAAAGTCCTTAACAACTTGGGCTTCACTGTCCGCTATATAAATAATATCAAGCACCGCCGTAGTCACAAGCCGTTGGATTTGTTTGAGGTTGAACTGGCACCTTCTTTGGATAACTCTAATGACAGGATCCTCTCTGTTACTATGCTGGGTAATCAAAGGGTTACAGTAGAGCGACAATTAAGGAGAATGGAGCCGGCTCAGTGTCACAGATGCCAGCGCTTTGGACACACAAAGAACTTCTGCCGCCGAGACTTTGTCTGTCTTAAGTGTGCTGGTAGCCACCCTTCCACGGACTGTGCAAACACTAGAATTGCCAATCCTAAGTGTGCCAATTGTGGTCTGGGACATATTGCCAGTTACAAAGGCTGCACGGTGTACAAAGAATTTAAAACCCGCCTCCTTGCCTATCGTTTACACTCTGCCGATAATGGTCAAACTAGGACACACCAATCTAAGGTTAGGTTTAATCCCCAACCCACCTACTACGACAGTCATCAGCAACAACACAAGCAGCTACCTCAAAATACATCCTTACAACAGCAGGATCTCATCCGTGAAGGCTTCAGGGATCAACTGCGGTCTCCTAGTGGTCGTAGAGCAACTATAATGTCTGACGTTCAGCCCCATCCCAACAAAGCTAACACTCCCTCATCAAATCCTAAATTAGGCAAAAGGAATCCATTTAGTAACTCTCCCCACACGCCTCCTAAAAATTTTCTTTCGCGTAATCCAGCTGAAAATCATTTAATTAAACTTCAACAGCAACTTAGGAACGAGCAACAACTTATGAATGGGCAGCGACTTGAAAACGGCAAACATGTCTCAAACAAAAATGTTGTCATGCATTCCAGTGCAAATACCAGACAATCACATCAGCACGAGAGAACCCGTTACCCGCAACAAAATGTAGTATCCTCAAACAACCCCCAATCTACACCAACTGGCTTGCCTCAAAGAACCTGGTCTACTCCCTCATCAACTAATGGCGACCTCCTACAAATGATACAACAGAGTGTGACCTCTGTAAGTGACTTAAGTATAAAACTTGATTCCCTTATTTCTCTCATACACGTAATTGTTGCTGACCCCAAGCTGCTAACTAATACTGGCAGTGGCTTCACAAATATCTAGTATTTTGTAGACCTAACTACAATACAATTAAAAGACAATATGAAAGTTCCTTGGAAATTTTACCATCTACGTCATGAGGATTTCTAAATTGTTCATTTAAATTATAGCATTAATCCTTTTCCTGCCAGTCTTAAAGAAAATAACACTATAAAGGAATCAATATTAAAACCTGCAACGTAATTATTTTTATATTATCCATATGTATGCATTCCTTTATCACAAAAACTACAATTATATTGCCTGCCCTCCTTCTGTGCTTCTTTTCCTCCGTATGCAACTCCCACACACATAGAGCAAAGTGTTATACGCACACACTCTCTTAAAGTTGCTCTACGCTGTCGCCTTATTCTAATGCGTAGTTTTCGTTTCATTGTGCTGCATCATTTTTTCCAGCCATTGCGATTCTGTTTCACTCTTTCACAAGCCTTAACTGCGATCGGTTGTATTTGTCAAGCACAACAAGGAAAAATAAAATAAAAACTGTACCATGGCTGATTCGTCTAATAAAGTGATTGACATTCCCCCAATAATTGTGTTGGATGTCTCATCAATACTCAGCTTTAAAGGATTCCTTCGCTCCTGCTCCTCGAGGATCATCAACCATGAGGTTACCCGTCTGGATGAGGGCAGAGTTAAGGTGACCTGTTTCACCAAGGATGATCACTCCCTCATCCTTTCGAACTTATACGGATCAGGATATCGGGCCCACTCAATAATGCAACATTTAATCGATTATCGGCGCTTTATTATTCGAGGCCTTCATCACTCAATTCCAATTTCGAGTATTCGTGCGGAATTCGAGCTCTTAAACTTCACTCTATGCCATATCCGGAACCTGAAATTTTATCGAAGCCGTGAGCCAATGAATCTATTCGAGATTGCTATAGCACCGTTTGACCTGGAACGTGTTGACGAATTCCTTGCCATTAAGAAGCTCTGCAACAGGTCTGTTACCATCGAGCGCCAAAGGAAATCGGATCAGCCTACTATGTGTCAACGGTGCCAGCGTTACGGGCACACAAAGAACTACTGCCGTCGCGATCCTGTCTGCTTAATTTGTGCTGGCCCGCATCACAAGGCCGACTGTTCCCTTCCGTCGACTTCTCCTCCTAAGTGCGCCAACTGTGGTGGCAAACATGTTGCCACTTACAAAGGCTGTGTTAAATTCATGGAAGCAAAGGAAAGTCTTCAAGGACCAACCAACTCCTCGGCTCAGCGTCATCCTTCCACTTCGCCGCCTCAGCAGTGTATATCTCCTCCAATGACTTCTCAACGTGCGCTCAATTTACTCAAACCGCTTCCTTCACCTACTAAACGTGATCCGCATCACTCCAAGCCACCTCGCCGAGCTCCATCGCCAGCTTGGGATGACTTGAGCGACTCCAGTTGTGATTCTCGCACAACCAATCGACCATCTCGGCCACGCACAACATCATCTCGTCGTGTACTCTCTCCGGCTCGCCGCCATCGCTCCAGCTCGATTCCTCAACGTTCGGAATCGCCTCCTACTACATCCCGTCGTGCTCGGCAACTGAAGCCATCTACTCGGCTCAACTCCAAGGCACCTCGTGTGTCCTTTTTGATACCCCATGGTGGCCGTGACGGATCCAGCGACTCTGGCCTATCCTATCTGGATTCTAAACCACCAAAAACCTCATCCAATCGAAAACACTCCTTACTCCGCCGTCGCCGCCACAGCGCATCCTCTCGGCGTTCAGGACTACCGGTTCACGGCCATTCAAGCGACTCCAGTTATGACTGTGGTCCACCTATGCGTTGTTCTCCTCCAGAAAAACTCCATCGTGCGCCTGAGCAGCGGGAATCGCGTTTCAGGATGCCCTCTCCCATCGCTTTGGAAGGACCATCTCAGCGGCTGTCCTCGTCGGACCAATCTGGCCACGGTTGTTCCCCTGGAGGTGACCTGGATTCCCTCTCCGAAGAGCCCCCTATGGAAGGCTCACCTCCTGAGGATCTGCTCAAGGCTGTCCTTCGCAGCTGCCGCACCGTAGATGGACTGTCCAAAAAGTTGGACTCTATAACCAAACTGGTTGAATTTTTCACAACTGATCGATAGTTTATTACATTTTATAACACAAAACTACTTAAACTACTTAAATATAATTCATTAAAACTAAAATTGGTTCTCTTAATTCTGGAAAATTCTGGAAAAAATAAAATTCTGGGTTCCTTAATTCTATTTTATGCTGCTGTTCCTGATCCTTTTTACTCGCCCTCTCCAGACATGATCGGAGTTAATTTCGTCACAAACTTGCGACTGTTCCATCCTGGTGTCTGCCTTCGCGACTGGATTCCAAATATATGCTGGTTTCTTGACCGGTGGTGGATCGGAGATTGCCTGCTGCTCCTGAATTTGCCTTCCAACCTTGCTCGTTGTTTCCTTGCTGCTTGCTGCACCCACACCAACCCAGATGCCTGCTATGCAGTTGGTTCTGTTGCATGTGCTGGATCTTCAAAATAGGAATAAAAGCTGCAATGAGAAATTTTGAATTAATTATTTTTATGTATTCATTCCAAATAAATCTGCCCACCTGCTGAGGTTCTCCAATCTCAATTCCTGTGGCCACTAGCGTGAGGTTGATCTACTAATACAAGCCTGGATCTGCGAGTTGCTTTATGAATACCTCTTCACACCTTATAATGGAAATTAAATTCAGATTAATTCATCATACTACTGCAAACTTGTATACATACCTGTGGTTAGTCCAGCTTGAATTATGTTCTACGTTTGATACCTGTACACATGCTGGATTATTAACGGTGTATAAATCTGAAATTAGAAATTTTACATTCAATTATTCCTGCTGCTTTACTCCAAATAAAATTGCCAGTCTACTGTGTAATGCTCAACGCAATGGCTGTTAGATTGAACTTATTTTGCCTCTACAAATTCTGCTACATACCATGTATTCATAGAAACTGATGTTTGCCCTACGACTGCTCCTATACAAGCGCTGGTCTCTTGATTAGAAATGGATCTGCAATGAGAAATTTTGAATTAATTAATTTTATTAATCCACTCCAAATAAATCTGCCCACCTGCTGAGGTTCTCCAATCTCAATTCCTGTGGCCACTGGTTTGAGGTTGATCTGCTAATACAATCCTGGATCTGCGAGTTGCTTTATGAGTACCTCTCCACACCTTATAATGGAAATAGAATTCTGATTAATTCGCCTTACTGCTGCAAACTTGCGTACATACCTGTGGCTAATCCAACTTGAACTCTGCTCTACGTCTGATACCTGTACACATCCTGGATTATTAATGGTGTATAAATCTGAAATTGGAAATTTTACATCTAATTATTCCTGCTGCTTTACTCCAAATAAAATTGTCTGTCTACTGTGGAATGCTCAATGCAGTAGCTGTTAGATTGAACTTATTTTGCCCTACAAATTCTGCTACATACCATTTGTTAATAAAAACTGATGTTTGCCCTGCGACTGCTCCTATACAAGCACTGGTCTCCTGGTTGGTAATGGATTTGCAATGAGAAAACTTATTACTAAAATTGTAAACAACATGTGCTATTCAATTATTGTTTTTCTTGCATTGCACACTGCACTAATACCAACTTAGCTTTGCCAGTTATGCTTAAAATCGTTGGTCAGAGTGAGACCCATGTATATTCCTCATATGCTCTCCTACCCTGCACTCTTACTCTCAGTTTCCTTATTTTGCTATTACTCAGCAACCCTGTCTCTGAAACAATTGTTTCTACACTACCTAGCAACTTGTTGCTATACATGTTGTTTAACTAAACGAAGCTCTACCTTAAATAAACAAATGTATCTGACCCTTGACTGGTCAGCCAATTTACTAAAATTATAAGATTATTATGGCACTGATTTGCCGGGAAAGGCAGAATAACCATACCTTTCCTACTAATTTACTCCTCAAAATTCTTAGGCACCTGCTACCCCTGACTCCTTCCCAACTACACCTGCGTATATCTGTGACTCCTGATTACCAATTTCCCTAAACTTGGGGATTGGGCACTGTATTCCTAGCTCTGGTAGCAGCCTCCAACCAGCTATCCTGCCACTGGGCACCGGCTTTCCAATCCAACTTCATCTTCCCAGCGTTTGGATCTCTGGCTTGGCCACCAGGACTTCAGGTCGATGCTCGGACCCTACGACCGCGATTTAGTATTATCTAATTGAAATCAATAATCTTTTATACTCATTATTATTACCTAATTCTGTTATATCTACTATTTAAGTACTCCAAATTGTATTCTACTGCTAATAATTCTATATCACTCCTGCCCAACTACACCTGCGATTCCTGATTACCAATCTCTTCAAACTTGGTGATCGGGCACTGTATTCCTAACTCCAGTAGTAGCCTCCAAACCAGCTACTCTGCTATTGGGCAACGGCTTTCCAATTCAACCCCATCCTACCAGCAATTGATCTCTGACTTGGCCACCAGGACTTCAGGTTGATGCTCGGACCCTACGATTGCAAATTACTATTATCTAAGTGAAGTCAATACTCTTTTATACTCATTGTAACTACCTAATTGTATCCTACTGCTATTTATTCTACATCACTACTGCTCAACCACGCCTCCGTTCATCTTTGGCTCCTGAATACCAACTCCTTCAAATTATGTTATTAAGTACTGAATTCCTAACTCTAGTGGTAGCCTCTAACCAGCTACTCTGCTATTGAGTACCGGCTTTCCAATTCGGCTCCCATCTACCCAGCGCTCTGACCTCTGACTTGGCCTCCAGTTTTCCAGGTTGACGCTCGGTCTCTATGATCTTAATAAATAATTATCCTTACGTTAAGCCTGTATATATGTTTAAAATACTTCAGCTATTCCATTAATATCTCTTTTTATTGTTACTCCAAATCTTACATGTTCCTCACAAGTTTAAAACTGTTATTAATTCAATTATTTCTATAAGCTTGTTAATAATTGCTTCTTATGTTATCTAATATTTGTATAAAATGTATTAGTGTAAGTAATCACTGTATATTACGCAAATAAAAAGCTGTAACCACTCTGGTAGTGGCTATCAGTGCTAGTTGTGACCTCACCGAAGGCACGCCCTGAAAACCTAGAGAAGTACAGTCCAATATAAAACTCCTTCAAAACAAAAAGGCTCCTGGACCAGATCTCATTGACAATAATGTCATCAAGTTACTTCCCTATAAAGCTATCCTTTATCTTACCCACATCTACAACTGTATTCTAAGACACGGCCACTTCCCCAAGCAATGGAAACACGCAGCAATCACTATGGTTAAGAAACCAGGAAAAAGCCCCTATGAAGTTGCTTCCTACAGACCTATCAGTCTTTTAGCTGGTTTCTCAAAAATATTTGAAACACTTCTACTGGACAGAATGTTTCATTGCCAAGACTTTGAGCAAGCCATTCCCTCTCACCAATTTGGCTTTAGAAAACAGCACAGTACTGAACAGCAGTTGCTACGCGTAACTCAACACATTTTATCTGCCTATGAGCAAAACTCTTTCTGTTCTGCTGTTTTTCTAGATGTGAGTGAGGCCTTTGATCGAGTTTGGCACGTGGGCCTCCTATCAAAACTAGCTAACCTTCTCCCTTACTCACTATACAAAGTCTTAGAAAGCTACTTAACTAATCGGACGTTCACTGTTAATGGAATAAATGGAGCATCATCCAAAATTGGAAATATTAAAGCTGGCGTTCCACAAGGGAGTGTTCTGGGTCCTATTCTTTATTCAGTCTTCACCTCAGATATGCCCATTCCTGAAGTTATCAACCATAACTCTGTATACAATCCTGAACGTCTTATCAACACACTGTTATCTACGTATGCGGATGATACCATTATTCTCTGTACCAGGAAGGAAGCTTACCAAGCCATTTACTGCAATGAATTTTTCCTTAGTCACATTACTAGCTGGGCCACTGATTGGTGTATTACTCTTAATCCAGGAAAAACGGTTCATGTACTCTTCACAAAACGCTCTACCTCCACCCTAACTGGGCCTAAATCACCTAAGATGAATGGTGTCCTTATTAAAAACGAACCTAAACATAGATACCTTGGACTCATATTGGATAGAAAGCTTGTTCTTCATCACCATATTAATATGCTTGTAAATCGGATTCGCTCAGTTACCATTAGTTTAAACTGGATCATTGGAAACAAAAGCAGCCTCCCTACAGAAAGTAAAATCTTATTGTACAAACAAATTGTTGCCCCCATCTGGCAATATGCCTTACCCATTTGGGGTGCGCTTATTTCTAATACTAATTTTCAGAAGATGGAGTCTGCACATAGCAAGCTATTCCGGAAAATTTCTAAATCCGGTAGATATGTTAGGAATCAAACTATACGTGACCTGTATAATATTAAATCTGTTGAAGAAGTCTACACTGAATCCAGCGGCAGACTTGCAGCCTCGTTAATTTCTCATCCAAATGTTGAGGCTAGACGTATCCTATCTGATCTCTTTATTCCTGATAGACTTGATAGGCCAAGATACAAAGACCAAATTGAAAAACACTTCCTTCCCTTGCGGCAGGTACTCCCGCAACAACAACATTCACAACACTTGCATTCTACCTTTATGGACCAACTTCCTACTTTAATACGCTTCGAGCAACAGCAACTTGACTTACATAATAGTTTTAAAGCGAAACAAGCGGCTGAAGCCCGAATTGAACGTGAGCGTCTTGAGCTAGAACGGAATCCTTCAATGCGTCCCTCGATGTTTTGGGTAAATACCCTATCCCGAAGGCTTCGTAGTGGTGCTGCCACGCGCTGGGAAACGGCACAGAAAATCATGAATCAGCCAGAATATATCCAACGTTTGATCATGACTCCTCTATCTCCGAGTGAGATTCCGCCACCTACTCCTGAACAGCAACTTGATGATAGGTTAGCCACCTTGAAGCTGCAAATTGAAAATGAGTTAGATCAATTTCTTGACTGTGATCAGCCTAGGGAAGACATAATTTCTGTACCCTCTTCCAGCACCTCAAACGTCGCTACTCCACAGATTCCTTTATTAACTCGTCATTCGCCACATTTATCTGATGATCAACTGCTACTAAATCCGGCCATTGCAGCTTTCTGGGACACTAATGAATAATCATCCCGTGTGATGTTGATTGGTTCAACGTACAACGATTTAATTTCGCTCAGCACAACTGATCCTGTTTTTCCCATGTTTCACTAAATAAATAAGGAACTGATTAGTTTAATCTTACTTTACTGCTATTATTATTTATTCTTATCTGAATCAAATCCACATCAACTTATTTAATCCTCCATAAGCAATGTATAATGAATCATCCTGGTTGACTTTCATGTAGCAGCCCCTGCAAGGGATCGTGAAGTATTTGCTGCCAAGATACATGATGGATTCTCAACTTTAACTGAATCCATTACTCATAAAGTCCAAGAATAATCTAGCCAAATATGGACAAAGAATTTAAAATCGTACCAAGGCTGTCTGCCCACCTTTCTATCGATACGACTGGCCATGATGAGGACTCTTGTTTCCCTCTGTGGGATAATAATATTAACCGCAGCATACTGCTACTAATTTGAATTAAATATTAATATTCTTATTTTTCACGACTCCACGTTTTGTCAAAACGTAAACAATAGTGGTTACTGTAAATTGTCTCTTCTTCTTATTTTTACTAATTATGCCTACACACTGCGGCTAGAATGAGACCAATATATGCTATACCCATAGAAACCAGACTTTTTGTCGGAAACATTGTCCCTTGATGCTTTAGCAGCATGTTGCTTAACATTTGGATTTGGAAACATTATCTGGCTCTTGACTGGCCAGGCAAACTCAAAACTAATAAGATACTTATGACACTGATTGTCGGGAAAGGCAGTAAAGCCATACCTTTCTCCTTTCTTACTTCTCCTTAAATCTCAGGTACCCTCTATTCTTGGAGATGTTTTATCTTGATACTCCGCCCTGGTGCACCGGCTCTCCAATACGTTCTTCACCTCCTCGTGCTGTGACCTCTGACTTGGCCCTCAGGACTTCAAATCACCGCTTGGATGCTATGCTTAATGTGTCAATATACTTTTCATTTAGCTAACTCAATTATGAACCCACCACTATAACTTTATGAATCTGTTAATTTATCTGCATTACTACATATAAGCGATCTTTTGTGACTTCTATTTTCCTGCCGTTAATTCTAAACCACCAAGTTGCCCGGATACACTTATATACATCTGCGTCTTATTAATCTATTGGATACCTAATCTCCTAACTTCTGCGGTAGCCTCCAACAAACTACTTTGCCATTGGGTATCGGCTCTTCAATTCAATCTCTATCATCCCAGCCCTCTGACCTCTGATTTGGCCTCCAGGATTTAGGTCGTAGCTTGGATTCCACTTTCTTAGTCAACTGAAATTCCTATATTAAGCCTGTATAAATTTTAAGTCATTCTAGTAAATCCATTTGTATTATTCTTTAATGTTATTCCAAATCCATTCCTGCATTTCTCACATGACTGTTAATGATTCATTTACATATATAAGCCTGTTGTTAATTGCTTTCTATATTAGTTAATATTTGTATAAAATGTATTAGTATAAGTAATTACTGTACGTTAAACAAATAAAAAGCTGAACCCGCTCTAGTAGCGGAAACAGTCCTATTGGTGCCCATCGCAGGCATGCATTGAAAAGAAAAAAAGAAAGAAAGAAAAAAAAAAAATTGAATGAAAAAAAGAAAAAAAAAAAAAAAGTTAATACATTAGTTTCGACTGTGGCTAATCTTCACAAGTGATATCATTTATTTCCGTACTTAATCTACACCTATACTCTGAATCTGATATGTGCACATGTTGCCCATAACACAATCTGAATCAATAATTATATAATGTTGTGGCAATATAAACTATTTTAATCCTATGTGTAGTGTGTGCTTCTAATTTTAACTTTCACTACCAATTTTTAATTTATTTTAAAAACTGTTCCACGTGGATTTTTAATATGCGCATACTACCAAAAGTATCTGTTCTGTGTATGTGGCTGTATACACATGCACAGACTTCTCCACACATCTATTCACTTACATTGCTACTATTTTATTTGTGTCGACGTGTGCATACTCACCACTGTAATATTACATCAAACTATACTTATGCATTAATCCTGCACCAATACTTTCTTGCTGCACTAATACATCTGACTCCTCTGCCAAAATTACTGCACTAATGCAGCAACCTGCTCTACTACATCTATATCTTTTTATGAAACTATATTTTGGCGCGTGGAGTTACGTAAACCATCATCTCTAACTCAGCAATTACAATATTATGGATCTTATCTTATAAAGAGAATTACGCATTAAAACTACCTTATTACAAAATTTTATTGAAGCTGTACTAAGTTACCTATTATGACTCCGCCACCCATTGGTCATCACCCTCTTGCCAACTATTCAACCCCGCTGCAAAGGTATGTGCACTGTAGGTTGCCACAGAATCTTGGTAATCCCACTAGTGAACTAAATAATAATAATTTTATAAATATTGCCTACTGGAATGCCTGTGGACTTAACAATAAAATGTCTGAATTAGAATTTTTTGTGAAGCTAAATAACATTGACATAATGTTGGTTGTTGAAAGTCGTTTACCTATAAATCTTGGCTCCAACCCTTCATCAGTTAGTCCTTATAACATAGATGGATACCTAATGTACTCCTCTTTCCATCCCTCTAGTGATAGAAAAGGGGGAACTGTTACTTATGTAAATGCTAAACTAAAGCACATTGCCTTACAGCCCATTGAGGAGGAATTTCTTCAATGTGCACCGATCTCGCTACACACTACAAATTCTGAGGAAATAATTATTAGTCCTATCTACTGCCCGCCAATCTTTTCTTGGACCACAGGACACTTTCAAAGGCTTTTTGCACACTTTAAAGCCCTATCCAAAAATTCAAAGTTCTTACTATGTGGAGACTGGAACGCTAAGCACCCTTGGTGGGGTAATCCTAGATCTTGCCCTAGGGGTAGGTCTCTTCTTGAATCTATCCACTCAAATGCTCTGCTGAATGTGCTGGCCACAGGTGGTGCCACTCATTTCCCGTTTGATCAGAGGAAAAATCCGTCAGCTATAGACTTTGCAGTTTATTCTGGCCTTCACTGTGATAGAACTCTCACCCACTCAGTAGTTGATCTGAGGTCTGATCACTTACCAATATTTGTTAAGCTTTCAGTTAGGGGCAATATTGACCACACTCAAAAACTACACCGGCTGCTCCCTTCTGGTTCCAAAATAAAGAAATTTCAGAATACTCTGTCAGAACTTACTCTGTTAAATACAGATATTAATAGTGGTCAAGACATTGAGGATGCGATCGACATCCTAAACCGTAACATCTACCATGCAGCTTCCTTAGCTACTCGCTATATGAATACTCATCACTCTATTCGCCCAGGGTATATCCCACTAAATCATAAACTCCGTAGACTCCAAGATGTTAAGATATATATGAAACGCGTTCAGTTAGCATTGCAAACTCCAACTGCCAGGAAAAATTTCGTGACTGCTTGTAGGCGTTTTACCAAAGCTCTACGTGAAGAAAAACTTAAAAGGACAAATTTGTTATTTAATAAAATTGATCCACTAGATCGCTATCGATTTCAAAAGCTTTGGAAAATCACTAATCATTTCAAAAGACAACCGGAACCCAACTGGCCACTCAAATTTTTTGATAATGATAGTAATAGTGCTAATGACTCATTCACCTGGACTAAAAGTAATGATGATAAATTAAACGCATTTGTTAATCACTTGGAAAAAAGGTTCTCACCAAAACTTACCAACACACCTGAGTTCAGGGCTAAAGTTCTTGCCGTAAAAGAAGAAGTCTGCCTCCAAAAATCCCTAATGGCTGCACCCAGTTGGATCTATCGTGAATCCTTTGTCAATGTATCAAACAGCATTGGCGTCCCTTTCCGTCCTATTTCACCTAGAGAAGTACAGTCCAATATAAAACTCCTTCAAAACAAAAAGGCTCCTGGACCAGATCTCATTGACAATAATGTCATCAAGTTACTTCCCTATAAAGCTATCCTTTATCTTACCCACATCTACAACTGTATTCTAAGACACGGCCACTTCCCCAAGCAATGGAAACACGCAGCAATCACTATGGTTAAGAAACCAGGAAAAAGCCCCTATGAAGTTGCTTCCTACAGACCTATCAGTCTTTTAGCTGGTTTCTCAAAAATATTTGAAACACTTCTACTGGACAGAATGTTTCATTGCCAAGACTTTGAGCAAGCCATTCCCTCTCACCAATTTGGCTTTAGAAAACAGCACAGTACTGAACAGCAGTTGCTACGCGTAACTCAACACATTTTATCTGCCTATGAGCAAAACTCTTTCTGTTCTGCTGTTTTTCTAGATGTGAGTGAGGCCTTTGATCGAGTTTGACACGTGGGCCTCCTATCAAAACTAGCTAACCTTCTCCCTTACTCACTATACAAAGTCTTAGAAAGCTACTTAACTAATCGGACGTTCACTGTTAATGGAATAAATGGAGCATCATCCAAAATTGGAAATATTAAAGCTGGCGTTCCACAAGGGAGTGTTCTGGGTCCTATTCTTTATTCAGTCTTCACCTCAGATATGCCCATTCCTGAAGTTATCAACCATAACTCTGTATACAATCCTGAACGTCTTATCAACACACTGTTATCTACGTATGCGGATGATACCATTATTCTCTGTACCAGGAAGGAAGCTTACCAAGCCATTTACTGCAATGAATTTTTCCTTAGTCACATTACTAGCTGGGCCACTGATTGGTGTATTACTCTTAATCCAGGAAAAACGGTTCATGTACTCTTCACAAAACGCTCTACCTCCACCCTAACTGGGCCTAAATCACCTAAGATGAATGGTGTCCTTATTAAAAACGAACCTAAACATAGATACCTTGGACTCATATTGGATAGAAAGCTTGTTCTTCATCACCATATTAATATGCTTGTAAATCGGATTCGCTCAGTTACCATTAGTTTAAACTGGATCATTGGAAACAAAAGCAGCCTCCCTACAGAAAGTAAAATCTTATTGTACAAACAAATTGTTGCCCCCATCTGGCAATATGCCTTACCCATTTGGGGTGCGCTTATTTCTAATACTAATTTTCAGAAGATGGAGTCTGCACATAGCAAGCTATTCCGGAAAATTTCTAAATCCGGTAGATATGTTAGGAATCAAACTATACGTGACCTGTATAATATTAAATCTGTTGAAGAAGTCTACACTGAATCCAGCGGCAGACTTGCAGCCTCGTTAATTTCTCATCCAAATGTTGAGGCTAGACGTATCCTATCTGATCTCTTTATTCCTGATAGACTTGATAGGCCAAGATACAAAGACCAAATTGAAAAACACTTCCTTCCCTTGCGGCAGGTACTCCCGCAACAACAACATTCACAACACTTGCATTCTACCTTTATGGACCAACTTCCTACTTTAATACGCTTCGAGCAACAGCAACTTGACTTACATAATAGTTTTAAAGCGAAACAAGCGGCTGAAGCCCGAATTGAACGTGAGCGTCTTGAGCTAGAACGGAATCCTTCAATGCGTCCCTCGATGTTTTGGGTAAATACCCTATCCCGAAGGCTTCGTAGTGGTGCTGCCACGCGCTGGGAAACGGCACAGAAAATCATGAATCAGCCAGAATATATCCAACGTTTGATCATGACTCCTCTATCTCCGAGTGAGATTCCGCCACCTACTCCTGAACAGCAACTTGATGATAGGTTAGCCACCTTGAAGCTGCAAATTGAAAATGAGTTAGATCAATTTCTTGACTGTGATCAGCCTAGGGAAGACATAATTACTGTACCCTCTTCCAGCACCTCAAACGTCGCTACTCCACAGATTCCTTTATTAACTCGTCATTCGCCACATTTATCTGATGATCAACTGCTACTAAATCCGGCCATTGCAGCTTTCTGGGACACTAATGAATAATCATCCCGTGTGATGTTGATTGGTTCAACGTACAACGATTTAATTTCGCTCAGCACAACTGATCCTGTTTTTCCCATGTTTCACTAAATAAATAAGGAACTGATTAGTTTAATCTTACTTTACTGCTATTATTATTTATTCTTATCTGAATCAAATCCACATCAACTTATTTAATCCTCCATAAGCAATGTATAATGAATCATCCTGGTTGACTTTCATGTAGCAGCCCCTGCAAGGGATCGTGAAGTATTTGCTGCCAAGATACATGATGGATTCTCAACTTTAACTGAATCCATTACTCATAAAGTCCAAGAATAATCTAGCCAAATATGGACAAAGAATTTAAAATCGTACCAAGGCTGTCTGCCCACCTTTCTATCGATACGACTGGCCATGATGAGGACTCTTGTTTCCCTCTGTGGGATAATAATATTAACCGCAGCATACTGCTACTAATTTGAATTAAATATTAATATTCTTATTTTTCACGACTCCACGTTTTGTCAAAACGTAAACAATAGTGGTTACTGTAAATTGTCTCTTCTTCTTATTTTTACTAATTATGCCTACACACTGCGGCTAGAATGAGACCAATATATGCTATACCCATAGAAACCAGACTTTTTGTCGGAAACATTGTCCCTTGATGCTTTAGCAGCATGTTGCTTAACATTTGGATTTGGAAACATTATCTGGCTCTTGACTGGCCAGGCAAACTCAAAACTAATAAGATACTTATGACACTGATTGTCGGGAAAGGCAGTAAAGCCATACCTTTCTCCTTTCTTACTTCTCCTTAAATCTCAGGTACCCTCTATTCTTGGAGATGTTTTATCTTGATACTCCGCCCTGGTGCACCGGCTCTCCAATACGTTCTTCACCTCCTCGTGCTGTGACCTCTGACTTGGCCCTCAGGACTTCAAATCACCGCTTGGATGCTATGCTTAATGTGTCAATATACTTTTCATTTAGCTAACTCAATTATGAACCCACCACTATAACTTTATGAATCTGTTAATTTATCTGCATTACTACATATAAGCGATCTTTTGTGACTTCTATTTTCCTGCCGTTAATTCTAAACCACCAAGTTGCCCGGATACACTTATATACATCTGCGTCTTATTAATCTATTGGATACCTAATCTCCTAACTTCTGCGGTAGCCTCCAACAAACTACTTTGCCATTGGGTATCGGCTCTTCAATTCAATCTCTATCATCCCAGCCCTCTGACCTCTGATTTGGCCTCCAGGATTTAGGTCGTAGCTTGGATTCCACTTTCTTAGTCAACTGAAATTCCTATATTAAGCCTGTATAAATTTTAAGTCATTCTAGTAAATCCATTTGTATTATTCTTTAATGTTATTCCAAATCCATTCCTGCATTTCTCACATGACTGTTAATGATTCATTTACATATATAAGCCTGTTGTTAATTGCTTTCTATATTAGTTAATATTTGTATAAAATGTATTAGTATAAGTAATTACTGTACGTTAAACAAATAAAAAGCTGAACCCGCTCTAGTAGCGGAAACAGTCCTATTGGTGCCCATCGCAGGCATGCATTGAAAAAAGAAAAAGAAAAGAAAGAAAGAAAAAAAAAAATTGAATGAAAAAAAGAAAAAAAAAAAAAAAAGTTAATACATTAGTTTCGACTGTGGCTAATCTTCACAAGTGATATCATTTATTTCCGTACTTAATCTACACCTATACTCTGAATCTGATATGTGCACATGTTGCCCATAACACAATCTGAATCAATAATTATATAATGTTGTGGCAATATAAACTATTTTAATCCTATGTGTAGTGTGTGCTTCTAATTTTAACTTTCACTACCAATTTTTAATTTATTTTAAAAACTGTTCCACGTGGATTTTTAATATGCGCATACTACCAAAAGTATCTGTTCTGTGTATGTGGCTGTATACACATGCACAGACTTCTCCACACATCTATTCACTTACATTGCTACTATTTTATTTGTGTCGACGTGTGCATACTCACCACTGTAATATTACATCAAACTATACTTATGCATTAATCCTGCACCAATACTTTCTTGCTGCACTAATACATCTGACTCCTCTGCCAAAATTACTGCACTAATGCAGCAACCTGCTCTACTACATCTATATCTTTTTATGAAACTATATTTTGGCGCGTGGAGTTACGTAAACCATCATCTCTAACTCAGCAATTACAATATTATGGATCTTATCTTATAAAGAGAATTACGCATTAAAACTACCTTATTACAAAATTTTATTGAAGCTGTACTAAGTTACCTATTATGACTCCGCCACCCATTGGTCATCACCCTCTTGCCAACTATTCAACCCCGCTGCAAAGGTATGTGCACTGTAGGTTGCCACAGAATCTTGGTAATCCCACTAGTGAACTAAATAATAATAATTTTATAAATATTGCCTACTGGAATGCCTGTGGACTTAACAATAAAATGTCTGAATTAGAATTTTTGTGAAGCTAAATAACATTGACATAATGTTGGTTGTTGAAAGTCGTTTACCTATAAATCTTGGCTCCAACCCTTCATCAGTTAGTCCTTATAACATAGATGGATACCTAATGTACTCCTCTTTCCATCCCTCTAGTGATAGAAAAGGGGGAACTGTTACTTATGTAAATGCTAAACTAAAGCACATTGCCTTACAGCCCATTGAGGAGGAATTTCTTCAATGTGCACCGATCTCGCTACACACTACAAATTCTGAGGAAATAATTATTAGTCCTATCTACTGCCCGCCAATCTTTTCTTGGACCACAGGACACTTTCAAAGGCTTTTTGCACACTTTAAAGCCCTATCCAAAAATTCAAAGTTCTTACTATGTGGAGACTGGAACGCTAAGCACCCTTGGTGGGGTAATCCTAGATCTTGCCCTAGGGGTAGGTCTCTTCTTGAATCTATCCACTCAAATGCTCTGCTGAATGTGCTGGCCACAGGTGGTGCCACTCATTTCCCGTTTGATCAGAGGAAAAATCCGTCAGCTATAGACTTTGCAGTTTATTCTGGCCTTCACTGTGATAGAACTCTCACCCACTCAGTAGTTGATCTGAGGTCTGATCACTTACCAATATTTGTTAAGCTTTCAGTTAGGGGCAATATTGACCACACTCAAAAACTACACCGGCTGCTCCCTTCTGGTTCCAAAATAAAGAAATTTCAGAATACTCTGTCAGAACTTACTCTGTTAAATACAGATATTAATAGTGGTCAAGACATTGAGGATGCGATCGACATCCTAAACCGTAACATCTACTATGCAGCTTCCTTAGCTACTCGCTATATGAATACTCATCACTCTATTCGCCCAGGGTATATCCCACTAAATCATAAACTCCGTAGACTCCAAGATGTTAAGATATATATGAAACGCGTTCAGTTAGCATTGCAAACTCCAACTGCCAGGAAAAATTTCGTGACTGCTTGTAGGCGTTTTACCAAAGCTCTACGTGAAGAAAAACTTAAAAGGACAAATTTGTTATTTAATAAAATTGATCCACTAGATCGCTATCGATTTCAAAAGCTTTGGAAAATCACTAATCATTTCAAAAGACAACCGGAACCCAACTGGCCACTCAAATTTTTTGACAATGATAGTAATAGTGCTAATGACTCATTCACCTGGACTAAAAGTAATGATGATAAATTAAACGCATTTGTTAATCACTTGGAAAAAAGGTTCTCACCAAAACTTACCAACACACCTGAGTTCAGGGCTAAAGTTCTTGCCGTAAAAGAAGAAGTCTGCCTCCAAAAATCCCTAATGGCTGCACCCAGTTGGATCTATCGTGAATCCTTTGTCAATGTATCAAACAGCATTGGCGTCCCTTTCCGTCCTATTTCACCTAGAGAAGTACAGTCCAATATAAAACTCCTTCAAAACAAAAAGGCTCCTGGACCAGATCTCATTGACAATAATGTCATCAAGTTACTTCCCTATAAAGCTATCCTTTATCTTACCCACATCTACAACTGTATTCTAAGACACGGCCACTTCCCCAAGCAATGGAAACACGCAGCAATCACTATGGTTAAGAAACCAGGAAAAAGCCCCTATGAAGTTGCTTCCTACAGACCTATCAGTCTTTTAGCTGGTTTCTCAAAAATATTTGAAACACTTCTACTGGACAGAATGTTTCATTGCCAAGACTTTGAGTAAGCCATTCCCTCTCACCAATTTGGCTTTAGAAAACAGCACAGTACTGAACAGCAGTTGCTACGCGTAACTCAACACATTTTATCTGCCTATGAGCAAAACTCTTTCTGTTCTGCTGTTTTTCTAGATGTGAGTGAGGCCTCTGATCGAGTTTGGCACGTGGGCCTCCTATCAAAACTAGCTAACCTTCTCCCTTACTCACTATACAAAGTCTTAGAAAGCTACTTAACTAATCGGACGTTCACTGTTAATGGAATAAATGGAGCATCATCCAAAATTGGAAATATTAAAGCTGGCGTTCCACAAGGGAGTGTTCTGGGTCCTATTCTTTATTCAGTCTTCACCTCAGATATGCCCATTCCTGAAGTTATCAACCATAACTCTGTATACAATCCTGAACGTCTTATCAACACACTGTTATCTACGTATGCGGATGATACCATTATTCTCTGTACCAGGAAGGAAGCTTACCAAGCCATTTACTGCAATGAATTTTTCCTTAGTCACATTACTAGCTGGGCCACTGATTGGTGT